TATAGCCAGATTTACATTTCGATTATAGCCTAAATTGGACCCAACGCCAGCCCAATTTCACATTAAACTACCCGACCCATGCCCTAAACCCGCCTACCCGACCCAAGACCCATCAAATCCTGACCGTTGATCTAACAGATCAACGGCCCTTATTCGTTCCTTCCTTTTTTATCCCAAATGACCCCCTACCCTATCTCATTTCCAAATCCCGCCGCCTCTGTATTCTCTCATCTCTCAACCACTCAACCTAACCCTTGCTCTTTCAACCGCCGACCTCCCCTTCTCCGGTCATCTCCGGTGACCACCCTTCAACCCCAAGCCTCTAATGGCTCCTCCACCGTCTTGCTCACCTTCTCTGAGGCCTTCAAGGGCCCTGGGCCACGCCGACTTGTATCTAGGGTTTGCTGTTTTGGCTGTTCATGGCTACTCCGTTGTGATTTCGAGCAAAATAACACTGTATTTGTTACGATCTTTGAAGTTTCTAAGCATGTTCTTCCATCTCTATTTGCGTTTCTTTTGAAACCCTAATTTTAGTTTTGCATCTCTTAGATTTGTGCTATTTTTAAACGATTCAACTCTGTTCCTTTTATGTTTCACACTGTTCTTGAACCTCTTTTGCAAAGATCATCGATTTCAAGTTGTTTTTACTTTCTTTTGAAGTTAGGGTTTTTCGGAACCCCTTCTACACTTCGTTAAATCGATTCTCCATGTTTAAAACTTCTATCTCTTGCATATTTCAACTGATTCTATGATTATACTCCTTTTTCAACTCGCCTATGTTGAAAACCCTAATTTCTTAGTCCCGACCTTGGGTTTCTGAGTGTCGTTTTGATAATATGTTCAGTTAATCTGTATGTTCCTATGATTCTGTGATTTTTGCCTTATGTTTGCTTGTTAGGTTTCCTTATTGTGGTTATCCTTTCCTACTGTGTGATTTTGCCCTATTTTTGTTCACCGATGTTTCTGATTCTTCACTTCTCCTACCTGTATCATGCTTAGCCTACTAATTCAGACTATGCTCTACATGAATCCCTAATTTTATATATTATTCTTGTCCTACTCGACCTCTTAGGGTTCTGATTTTTGCTTACCATGTGCTTGTTCTTATAGAGTGGTGCTAAATCAGTGTTATCTCCTATTCTTGCATCCTTGAATCTTTGTGATTGATCTTTCACTGATTCCGCATGTTATTTCTATTGATTTTTACCTTGTAAAATATTTTCTGACCTTATTCTATGGTCAATTATGCTATTAATTGATTGCTCAAGTCTTTCCTTGATTGAAGTGTGCTAAACCTGGCCTCTATTACATATTGTGTACTTGTACTATACAGAAAATATTCCTTAATTGGCATGTTCATCCTTATACGATTTCCTTCCTTATTTGTTATATGTCTATTACCGTTTGAGGTTAATTCTTCAATTAAAGGGAGTACTTACCTTGATTTCCTGACTGATTGATTCTAAGTTCCTTAATTACTAATGGACTTTGATTTTTACCTTATTTACTACATGCTTTCAAACTATAAATACCCTAGTCTTTCATTAACACAAGACACGAACTCTTGGTTCAAAAAAACTATTTATCACACCTAGCTTTCTGCTATCTTTTGTACTACTTGCTACTACTCTAAGTTAGCCAGCTGCAAGCCAAGGCTAACCATTGTGTTTTCTTCACTCTGCTTACTGTCCTCTTTACTGGTATGTTCTAGTTTCAATTCAAAGTTCCACAACAATATGATTCTCTTATTGTTTCAGTTAATCCTGTTTCTACTTTGCTTCTATTTGTGGTGTTATTGTGAATGTTGCAGTTGATGTTTATATTACTATGTACTCCCCTTCCTTAAGATCAGTATATTACCCCTTTGTTTGTTTCTGAGTTTGTCTATACCAATTATCTCTTACTTGTTGTATGCTTACCATCATATGCTCCATGAATCCCCAAATCCCTATCACCCCTGTATGTGATTTTGTTCTTCATGTCTAGTTTTGTGACTATGTCTGGTCAGCTATTTCTGAGCATGTCTATACCAATTCCTAGACCTTTGCTTGATTATGTGTTTGCAATCATGTGTTTCATGAATCCCAAACCCCTTGACCCATGTTTGTGACTACTGAATTTACTTTGGTTCTGTGACTACTGGCAATATATAAACCTGTCCTAAGGTGTTGTATTTGGACTTCTCTACATTTTTTCAATCTCTTTTCAAACAGTCTCTGTTGTTTTACTAAATTACTTTCAAACAGACTTTCTATTTTAATACAGTTTTTCACTAAAACCTTTCAACTTGTGTCAATCACTTTCACTCTACTCCTAAGTCAATAAGTTCTGCCCTCTCCAGTATGTGTACTGCCTTGGGATCCTCTTGAGAACCCTCTGAACTCTGGCATACCGAGGCTGGCCCTTCCACACTGCATTTATTCAATTTTTGGTTACCAAGTCTAGGTGTAAGCACTGCTCGGGATCCTTGAGATCCTTAGGGAACTTTAATGCACCTAGACTATGTCATTGTCTACGAAATTGAGGCATTCGAGTCCATGGGAGGCTTTGGGAATCTGGGCCTAATCGAAGGCTCCCTATAGAATAGCTTCTTATTTTTCTTATTTACTTATGTAATTAATTCATTGGTCTATTATAACTTGTAAACAAATATGGGGTATTTAGTGAAAGGGATGGGTAGATGCATGTTTGTGGGGTAATATGGCTAGAAATCATGCTCATAGGACTTTATGTTTAAATCTGATTGCTTTACCAAGTAGAAATCATGCTCATAGGACTTTATGTTTTAATTTTATTACCTCATCAAGTAGAAATCATGTTTATAGGGCTTTAAATCTTGTCATGTTTATCTCACCATGCTAGAAACCATGCCTATAGGTTTCAAATAATTCCATAATAGCAATCATATCTGCAATGTCTTAAAATCAACTTAGTAAATAGATGCCATGCCTATAGGATATAATTTAACCGAGCTTCCGTTATAACAAGTGTTTATGTATGTTTCCCTGCCTGCAAACCTTTAAAATCAGTATCAAAAGTTAGATATCATGCCTATAGGGAACCATACTTGAAATTCTGCTTGTCAACCTAAACTAGTCTAAATATATCAATATAATCCACGTCTAGTCATTTCTGGATTGGTTTAATTAAGTATTTCATATTTCCTGAAAGAAGTTCTTTAATACTGCCTCAATCTATCATTAGATATCATGCCTAAGTATTACAGAAATCCATTTCCAAACCTGCTTTGTTTCACTATGTAAATGTACTAATCAGGTCTCCGCGTATAGGCAAGCCTTTAGGGCGTTTTCCAAGCTGCAACTCTGAAACTGTTTCTATTGCTTAATGTTTTTTGATCCTAACAGGCTTTAAAAATCAATAGACAACTGCTAGGGTCACTACTCCTAAGTTTATAAAAAAATAAGTTGCTTGCATATTCAGCTAGACATCCTGCCTTAAGATACTGTCTAATAAAAGCCCTTAATTGTGCTTGAGTCGTGCTGTTTATATGCTTGTTTGATTTGGAAACTTTGAGCCTCTAATTGCTCCCTTTTATGTGTTGAAAGTCCTAAGTTTTTTGCTTGTCGCCTTAGAATTTTCACCTTTTAAAACCTTAGGGGCCTGTCCAGAACCACCTATAGGTAGAGGTCCAGGACCATTAAGAAGGGACGAGTAGCAGCACGCAATAGAGATTGCTGACCAAACACTCACTTTTCATGAAAAATAAGGGGATGGGAAGGGTAGATATGGGATATGATGACTACGCGCTAATGTCACGTGTAGCCCCTCATCGAGGAGTGTTTACTGGAAATTGTGTAGGGTGATCCTATAGGCTAACTAACCTAGGACCTCTCCTTCACCAAAATTCCCTTTTATTTAAACCTTTGTTTTACAACTTGTCCGAATCTTTATCTTATTACTTGAGTTATCTAACGTGCTTTACTTGCAACTTGTTTGATCCAACTGTTTATTTGTAAATGACTAATTTGTGAATATAAGTTCGGCCGGGACCCACAGTTGTGGATCAAGAGGGGTGCCTAACACCTTCCCCTCGAGGTTACTTCGAGCCCTTGCCCTAACCTTTGCTAATGCAAACCAATCCAAGAGTTAATCACTCTAGGTGCCCTAGCGCACCATAATCCGCCAGGTGGAGACTCTTCAGATACCCAATTCCCAAAAGAAAATGAGTCATTACACCCCGTGAATGTTGCAACCCGGACCTCTCTCCGCGAGGAGGGAAAAAAGGGGGCGCGACAGCATGACGACTCTGCTAGGACATTTTTAGGCTCTTACCACAACGAGCTTATCTTTCATAAAATTAGTCCAAGCATGCTTTATCCCGTACCCCTCTCCTTTTATTTGAATTTAACTGCCTATTTTAAGCATTTATTTCTCTTTTATTCATGAAACTGACTCGCCTCTTTGTTTTCTTTTCCCTGTAACTGCCTTTTCAATTATTTAAATACTGTATTTATTTTTCCTACGTGCAAATACTTGACTACATGTTATTAATTGCCGCATAAATCATGCTCCGCATCATATTCCACTCGTGCGTCTCAAATCCTATAGCAGCGCTTTAATGAGTGGTTGCGCTCTTCCTATTTACTACCCTTAAATTCGGAAAGGCTTATTTGCGGTAAATCCAGTCGATCAGCGGTGCAGTCGACGGTTCCGTGCCTTTCCCCTCGATTTGTCCGCTTAAGGGTACCAGTCTAAAACCCCATAGTAGCCTTACTCTGGTCAAAATTGTGCATGCATCATGGTCAAACCTAGTCGGATCAGTTATGTTGTCCACATAATGATCCTTTAAGATAAGCCTTATCCAAAAGTCCATCAGGTTTTCCATTATCCCAACGGACACAACCACGTTCTGTGCATTAATTTGGAGAACTAAACGCCGTATATGTTGATCATAAATGTATAAATAGTAGAGTCTGGTGGGGTAAGGTCTAACCCTTTTTGTTTTGCAGAAAATAAGGCACGAGGTCCCCAGATTCAGTATGGTTAGCAACATCCCTCCATTATTGTTAGATTGGTGGGAGGACCTTTCCTCAAGTGACAAGAAACATGTGAAAAAGTACCTGGGTAACCTGCCTTCCCTGCTAGACATTGAGCCAAAGAACAAATTGATCGAAGCTGCCACCTTATTCTGGGATAGTGAAAGAGCTGTGTTTCGTTTCGGTGACATTGAAATGACACTGCTTCTAGAGGAAATAGGAGGACTTGCAGGACTAACTTGGGACAGTCCCGGGCTATTGGTGCCAGAAAATCGTACGGGCAGGGTTTTTTTGAAGATGATGAGGTTGAAGAAGAATGTCGACCTAGTGTGCTTGAAGGATTCCTACATACCTTTCGAATACCTGTACGAGAGGTATGGCCATAGCAAGTCTTTCCGCACTTACCATGATGAGATATCCCTGACTTCACCGGGTCACATCCACCGCAGAGTGTTTGTATTCATTGTGTGCTTTCTAGGCCTGATAGTATTCCCAATGAAAAAGGGAAGAATCCACACTAGGTTGGCCATGGTCGCTAAGACTCTGATGGAGGGGATTAATGGACAAACATATACCATAGTCCCCATGATCATAGCCGACATCTACAGGGCTCTGGAGCGCTGTCAAAGAGGGGTCAAGCATTTCGAAGGTTGTAATTTGCTGCTGTAGTTATGGTTGTTGGAGCATTTCCAAAAGGGTCGCTATCGTCAGGAATTTCCGCGAAGGGCTTGGAACGACCATATTGCCTTCCATCACCCTAAGCAGATGACTTACATTCTAGACGGATTTGCTTAGCCAGAAAGCGCCAAAGAATGGGTAGGGTTTTTCGACAATCTCACTGAGGAACAGGTACAGTGGATGTTTGAATGGTTCCCCACGGATGAATTTGTTATCAGATCCAGGGACGCTCCGCACTTGGTGCTGATCGGGTTGAGAGGGATATACCCATATGTCCCTATGCGGGTCATGAGGCAGGCAGGTAGAAAATAGGTTGTACCAAGGGTTATCAAGATGAGTCACTTCAGGGCGGACTTTCAAGACGACGATGTCCCTTACAAGTGCCAAGCTCACACATGTGGCGCTGCAAAATCATTGTGGAGAAGAATACCATTGAGCCACAGATATCATACAGGGTGCGAGCCTCTCTACCCGGCATGGTTGGAGGATAATCTGAAAGGAATGGTGACACCAGGGGTCGGTCGGGGAAACAGAATCATAGATGAGGAAGCTAAAGCTCAAGTCAAGTACAATAGGCTGCGCAAAAGGGTCCACGACTCTGAGAATGGGCACCGGGAAATACATGAGAGGAATGTGAGGTTGATCGAAGAATGGAAGGAGATAGCAATCACTTCCAACAGGAAACTGGAGTACCTAGAGCGAGGAATAGTGGAGCTGGAAGGCAAAATCATAAAGAGGGTTGAAAACTGCCAGAACGCTGAAGGGTCTGAGGGAGGACATCAAGCCAGAGCCTACTTGCTGCTGGGACTGCACGAGCTGGGGGACCTATATGATGGAGCCCGAAAGATCGAATCTGGGGTCCTTCTGGGACCAAACAAACTAGATTTACTCGCTTTTCCTAAAATGTAATACGGCCACGTGCCAATAGTGACTTAGTTTATTATTATCTTAGTGTCGTTTTGGGGATTCAACTATTTTATATTATGAAATGAAGCATTTATTGGCATTTTAAGTTCTCCAAATTTATTTGTCACTAGGCCTACCTCGGGCACAACAAGGCTCCCAAATTAAGACACGAATTTACATTCCCGCAATATGTGTTTAAATGCTGCAAACATTTCAGGATCCTCACTGACCTGTTACCTTTTTGTTTTTCTTTATTTTTTGATTATTGCCATCCTCTTAGGTTGGTTCACTCATACTAGCCTCATCAGCGTATCACACCAGATCAAGAGGCCCTCCTCCTCCTCCTCCAAGCAACACAAAGAGCAAAGGAGAAACAAAGATGGACGACTTAAGTGGAATCCGAAAGGAAAATGTTGTGAACGTAGAGACTTCCGATGGCCGTAGTACTCCGGCCCCGAATGACCTAGTTTTGAGACTGGAACAAAAGATACTAGAACTCCAAGGAGAGCTTGAGCAGGTCCGCAACTTGGCAAACTTATCACTCACCCTCAATGTCCTTGATGTCCACCAACAAAATGCAAAGAACCCAATGCCTCATCAGAATACACAAAACCAACAGCCACAAAATCCTACCGCACCGAATCAATACGCAACTCCACCCAAAAATTTCAACCCATTGCCGATACCAACTCCATCGTAACAACATCATCAACCAATTCAGTACCTACCAACAACCACTTACCACACTCCCAAAAATGCACCACCACTCATTCCTGATCCACAAAACTCCACCAATAACCACCACTATACCCAAGTTCCTAGCACCCATCAAAGCAACCCTATATACGTGGAAGCTATACCCCACTCTACCCGACCAATCTCCTGTGCACCGAAATCCTCCGAGAAGGACTTGCTCATTAAAAACATGGCTGAAGAACTCAAGAAGCTAATGAGCCGAGTTCAAGGTGTTGAAGGCGACAGAGGAATAGAGGGTTTAAACTATGAAGACCTATGTATACAGCCAGATATGGAATTTCCTGACGGATACAAACCTCCCATGTTTAAGATGTTCGACAGTACAGGTAATCCCAGGGTTCATCTAAGGACCTACTACGACAAGCTTGTCGGGGTCGGGAAAGATGAAAAGATTCGGATGATGCTCTTTATGAGGAGCCTTACTAGGGACGCTTTGACTTGGTATATCAGCCAAAATCCCAAGAAGTGGGCTAGTTGGGTAAGCATGGCGTCGATTTCATGGACCGATTCAGGTTTAACACAGAAAATGCACCCGATGTCTTTTACATTCAGAATCTCAAAAAGAAACCCACTGAAACTTTCCGCGAGTATGCTACTCGTTGGAGGTCAAAAGCAACCAAGGTCAGGCCCTCTCTAGACGAAGAACAGATGAACAAATTCTTCATCAAGGCACAGGATCCACAACATTACGAGAGGTTGATGGTTAACGAAAATTACAAATTCTCTGATATTATCAAGCTCGGGGAAAGGATCGAGGAAGGAATCAAGAACGGGATGGTAACGAACTTTGAGGCACTGCAAGACACAAATAAAGCACTCCAATCTGGCGGCATATCAAAGAAGAGAGATTTTGGGGTAGTAATGGTGGCCCAGGGCCCAAAACCTCCACTTATATATCAAACACCTCCCACATATCAAACACCCCCACCCACATACCAAGCATCACCGCCTACATATCAACCCTCATCTCCCAGATATTCCCAACCAGCCTCTGTCCATCACACCTATAACTCCCAACCATCCCACTTCCAATCACCGCCAGCTCGCCAAAATTGTCCAAGACCAAGACCCAACTTCGACCGCAAGCTACCCAGACAATACACCGCCATTGCTAAGCCCATCGACCAACTGTATGAAAGGTTGAAAGCCGCATGCTACGTCACTCCTGTTCCTGCTGTGGTACTAGAAAATCCATCCTAATGGGTGAACCCGAACAAAACTTGTGCATACTATTCCGGTATGAAAGGGCACACCACTACTGTGTGTCGAACATTGAAGGATAAGATCCAAACGCTAATTGACAACAAGGTCATACAAGCAAAGAAAGCCGCACCTAATGTTTGCAACAATCCCCTCCCTGATCACAGAGGTGATGGTGTACATGTGATAGAGACAAATGAAGAATGGGACCCCGATGGGTCAATCGGGCTTATTCGAGAAGGCGATGACTTTAAGGTTGCAGTCACGCTTACTCCTATTGTGGTTCAGACTCAGGCAGCTAGTGATGTTGAGGTAACCGCATCAGTTGCATTCGAGGTAGAAGTGGCTCCACCCGCAGTCACCTCTGCTCCATTTGAAGTAGAAATGGTCACACCTTTTAATGTAACGGTGTCAACCACACCCTCATTTAACTCAAAGGCAATACCCTGGGATTATGTTGCCGAGGCTCGGCGAAAAGTGAAGGCCAAGGTAGAGGAATCTGACGCTGCACAAGGAATGACTAGAACTGAAAGAGTCTATACACCGGAGCACCTGGGAGGTTCAAGTAGGGATGCCACTGCTAGGCAGCCTATCATTGAGACTGGGCCAGATGACCTGTGGAGGAAAGTACAGGCAAAAGAGTACTCTGTTGTTGACCATCTGAACAATGTCCCTGCTCAGATATCTATCCTGTCACTATTGCAGAATTCAGAAGTACACAAGAACGCCTTGATGAAAGTACTGAGCGAGGCTTATGTACCCAACAAGATCACTGGTGGAGAAATGGCCAATATGGTTGGGCAAGTGCTAAAGAGCCATAAGATTATCTTCTACGAAGACGAGCTACCGCGTGAGGGTTTGAATCACAATCGGGCCTTGCATATCGCAGTGCAATTTAAAGACAAGTTCTTTGCCAGGGTCTTAGTTGATGGAGGTTCAAGCCTAAATATTTGTCCGTTGGACACTCTGAAGAGGTTGGACAAAGTTTTCCACGAGATACGAGTAGGAAGCATGAAAGTGAAGGCTTTCGATGGGTCCCATAGGGGCACGATCGGGGAAATAAACCTTTGCTTGCTGATGGGGCCAACATGGTTCGACGTCGACCTTCAGCTGCTCGACATACCTGCTTCATACAATCTTCTGTTGGGACGACCGTTGATCCATGCCGCTGGAGCCGTGCCTTCCACACTACATCAGGCCATGAAGTTTGAATGGAATCGTCAGGAGGTGATCATTCACGGGGATGGAAGTAACCCTATCTACACCAGTCAGACCATCCCGGCCATTGGACATAGAAGATGGCTGGGAGGGGAAACCAATCATCACATTGAACGGGTCAACGCCGTCGAGAAGGATAAATGGTGGAGTAAAAAAATAGAAAGCATACTAGCATGGTCCGGATATGAACCCGGCAAAGGGTTGGAAAAGAACCTCCAAGGAATCACCAAACCAATACAGCTAAAAAATCATGGTACCACATTTGGGCTCCGATACCAGTACACGTGGCAAGAATACAGGAATTGGTGGCCTCCTTGGCGTGGACCATATTACCCTCTCGAGAAACCAGTGCCACGTTTGGAACAAGCTTTCCATCAGGCCGACACAATATGGGGAACTGCAGAAGAAGAAGCACTAGCCGGGCTGAAGGATTTGTTCTTGGAAGATGAGGACATGGACTGCAGTGCCATAATTGAGGAGGAGCAGGAAGAAGGCCTCACCATTAAGACTGTGGCAAAGGGAGTTGTTCTCAGAAACTGGACCGCCACACCATCCCGAGCCCGCCGAGTCCCTGGGTAGCTTGGCAGAATTTACTTCTATAGCCGTTCTAGGCATTTTAGATTTCCAGTAGTTTTGTTTTAAGATTTCCTGGTTTCGAAATAAATGCTCGATTCATCAGTCCAAGCTTTGTCTGAACAATTTTTCTCAGTTTTAGTCAAATGCATTTGTCCTTTATCATTATTCATTACTATTTTTATGCTTTTCCCTTCTACAATGTTATTATTACTTTTCCTGATGAACCAGTGACTGTGACATGTAATGAGGCAACGCAACATGAGAATAGTGATTCAGAGGAAGAGGATGAGATCCCTGAGGAAATTGTCAGGGAGGTTGAAAACTTTGAGAATAAGCCTAAGTTCAATCTGGACGAAATCGAAGCAGTAAATTTGGGAGACGCCGAGACCGTCAAGGAGACCCGCATCAGCATTCACTTGTCACCAATAGAAAAGGAAGAGTACATTCGTTTCCTAAAGGAATATGAGGACATTTTCGCCTGGTCATATGATGACATGACCGGTTTGAGCACTTCCATAGTGGCTCACAAGTTGCTTACTAATCCCATGTGTCCGTCAGTAAAATAGAAACTCAGAAAGTTCAAGCCAGACATGAGCCTGAAAATCAAGGAGGAAGTTACCAAGCAGATCAAAGCCAAAGTTCTCAGGGTGGTTGAGTACCAACCTGGTTAGCTAACATTCTGCCAGTTCCGAAGAAAGATGGGAAGGTTAGAGTATGTGTTGACTATCGGGATTTAAACAGAGCAAGTCCCAAGGACGACTTCTCGCTGCCAAATATACACATCCTGATCGATAACTGCGCCAAGCATGAACTCCAATCCTTTATAGAGTGCTTCGCAGGTTATCACCAGATTCGGATGGATGAAGAGGATGCAGAGAAGACAGCTTTTATTACACCGGGGGTGTATACTGTTACAAAATGATGCCATTCGGCTTGAAGAATGCTGGGGCCACCTACATGAGATCCATGACAACCATCTTCCATGATATGATACACAAGGAAATAGAGGTGTATGTGGACGATGTCATTATTAAATCCAAGAAGGCCGCAGATCACATAGCAGACTTGAGGAAGTTCTTCAGGCTAAGGACATACAATTTAAAGTTGAACCCTGCAAAGTGTGCATTCAGAGTTCCCGCAGGGAAGTTACTGGGTTTCATCGTCAGTCGTCGGGGGATCGAGATAAAGTCAAAGCTATTCAAGAGTTACCGCCGCCCAAGAGCAAAAAGGATGTGATGAGCTTCCTGGGGCGTCTCAACTACATCAGTCGGTTCATAGCACAGTCCACAGTCATATGCGAACCCATCTTCAAGATGTTGAGGATAGACGCTGAAACAAGTTGGACCAAGGATTGTCAAAAAGCTTTTGACAAGATCAAGGAGTACCTGTCCACACCACCAGTTCTGGTCCTGCCAGAACCAGGACGACCTTTGCTACTATATCTGTCTATATTGGATGGAGCCTTCAGATGTGTTCTGGGACAACATGATGAGACAGGAAGAAAGGAGCAAGACATATATTACCTGAGTAAGAAACCTCAACATCTATAAAAAATTCCTTTCTCCTTTTTTAAATAAGGTAAGCAATTCACGCCTTATGAAGCACGGTATTCTATGCATGAACGCACCTGCTATGCTTTGACCTGGACAACTCAGAAATTGAGGCATTACTTCTATGCCTACACCACCTACATCATATCCAGGATGGATCCTCTATTGTACATATTTCAGAAACCCTTGCCCACTGGGAGGTTGGCTAAATGGCAGATACTACTGAGTGAGTTCGATATCGTCTATGTAACTCAAAAGGCGGTCAAGGGACAAGCATTGGCCGATCACCTTGCTGAAAATCCGGTGGGAGGAGAATACGAACCCTTGAAAATGTATTTTCCCGATGAAGAAGTATCATTTGTAGGAGAAGGCATTACCTAGGCATACGACGATTGGAGGATGTTCTTTGATGGAGTCGCAAATTTTAAAAGAGTAGGCATTGGAGCAGTTTTGGTATCAGAAATGGGTCAGCATTATCCGATATCTGCCAAACTCAGATTCCCTTGCACCAACACTATGGCAGAATATTAAGCCTGCATACTAGGGCTCAATATGGTAGTCGATATGAACATTCAAGAGCTGTTGGTAATCGGTGATTCAGATTTGCTTGTGCACCAAGTACAAGGAGAGTGGGCCACCAAGAATTCCAAGATATTGCCATATCTGCACCACGTGCAGGAATTGAGAAAGAGGTTTGCAAAGATAGAATTCCGACATGTGCCTAGAATCCAGAATGAGTTTGCCGATGCATTAGCCACTTTGTCATCCATGATACAACACCCAGATAAGAACTACATTGATCCCATTCCGGTGAGGATCCATAATCAGCCGGCTTACTGTGCTCATGTCGAGGAAGAAGCAGATGGAAAGCCTTGGTTCCATGACATCAAAGAATACTTATCAAAAGGAGAATACCCGGATCATGCAAATCACACCCAGAAACGCACACTCCGGAGATTTTCAAATCACTTCTTCCACAGCGGAGGGAACTTGTACAGAAGAACTCCTGATTTGGGGTTACTAAGGTGTGTCGACGCGAAGGAAGCTTCTAAGCTACTTGAGGATGTGCATGCTGGGACCTGCGGTCCACACATGAATGGATTCGTTCTGGCTAAGAAGATACTCAGGGCAGGTTACTTTTGGATGACCATGGAGACGGATTGCATTCAGTATGTTCGCAAGTGCTTTCAGTGCCAAGTGCATGCCGATATGATAAAAGTGCCGCCAAATGAGCTCAATGCAACAAGCTCACCTTGGCCATTTGCCGCTTGGGGAATGGATGTTATTGGTCCACTTGAGCCCACCGCTTCAAACGGACACAGATTTATTCTGGTAGCCGTTGATTACTTCACAAAATGGGTAGAAGTTGCATCTTACAAAGCTGTAACTAAGAAGGTCGTCGCAGATTTTGTCAAGGATCATATTGTCTGCCGACTCGGAGTTCCTGAGTCCATTATTACTGACAACGCCGCCAATCTCAACAGTGATCTAATGAAAGCTATATGTCAAGCTTTCAAAATCAAGCACAAGAATTCCACAGCCTACAGACCTCAGATGAATGGAGCCGTAGAAGCTGCCAACAAAAACATTAAGAAGATACTAAGGAAAATGGTAGAGAACCACAAACAATGGCATGAGAAATTACCCTTTTCTCTGTTAGGGTACCGCACCACAGTCCGCACATCAACCGGGGCAACTCCTTCCATGCTGGTTTATGGTACCGAGGCTTTTGTCGCGCCCCCTTTTTTCTCGCGAAATCGGGTTCATGACATTTTGGTTGAGACAACTCGTTCCTTTTGGGAAAGGGGTTTGCATTTTTGCAGAGTCGCCACCTAACGATTTAAGGTGCGTTAGGGCACCTATAAGGTTCACCTATAACTACGTTTGGTAACCAGAGATAGGGTAAGGACTTGAAATTATCCTATGGGGAAGGTGTTAGGCACCTCTCAGGATCTACTAGTGTGGTTCCTGGCCAGACAGTTTTTGTGAATTTATACAATTAGCAACTAAACAAGAATGGCTCAAATAGTAGGGGATTTAAGTTTAAATACACAGATGTTTAAAAAAAACAGTTAATGAAAAACAAGATTTTAAAAAGAAGTACAATCTAAGCGTGTTTGTAAATATAAAGGGGTGTCCTGGGTT